GTTCTTATTTGTCATCCTGTGCCAAATCTCATGGTATCCTATGTCAGATGATGGTTAAATCACTGTTATATTCACATTATGCACTGAAAGTGGTGGTATGCAACATTTGTGATCTATGTTAGACAATTTCATTAAAATCATATCATGCAAATAATTTGTAAAAGTTCATAAAAGTGATTTGGTTATTTTCGGCTATCGCCATAGTTACAATCAAAGATACTGATCTAGTATCATCTTCTGAAGTCTCATCCAGTTCTGATCTCATCTAAGTTGCATACCTCTCAATGTCCATGCTGATATAATTTGCTTTTTTGCTTGACACATTTTAGGCTGGTATACAAACACAGCAGGTCAAAGTTCATGCACTGAATGTACTGCTGGTTTTTACTGCACATCAACAACACAGTCAGCTTGTGAAAGTGGTTATTACAGTTTATCAGGAAGTACATCTTGTACACAATGTCCAGCTGGTTATCAATGTTCTGATGCTGGTAGTTTACCAGTTATCTGTACTGAAGGGTATTACTCATTAGTTGGTAGTACAGAATGTACACAATGTGAAGCTGGATATTATTGTCAAAATAATGGAACAGAAATTCAGTCATTGTGTGATAAAGGTACTTATAAACATGCTAGCATTGCTGTATTCTCCTATAGAATAATAGAATAGTCCTAAATCTGTATGGTACTCATGGATGTGTTGCCCTATGGAATAATAGAATAGTCCTAATTTTGTATGGTACTTGTAGATGTGTTCACCTATGGAATAATAGAATAGTCCTAAATTTGTAACATACTTGTAGAGTCATATCGTCATGGAATACTAGTAATAGAAGTGTCATAGACCTTTAAAGGTTCTTCTAGATGATACTTTTCTCTCCTAATGGAATAATCCTGAAACTGTACTGACTTGTAAAGCTATACTACGTTTGTAACAGCTAAAGTTTTCAGGATATTGCAAACTTTTACTCCAGGAAAAATTGTGTGAAACAAGGTACTTTGTTCAAGCCCACCTGTTGATTCACTTCCTTGTCCTGTGTATGTGTATTCTTGGATCTGACTTTATTCACACAACTGTGTATCACAATAGAATATTTCCAATTCTGTAAAAACCATAGTCTAGTTGTAAAACCTAGATCATCTTCTGTCGGGGGATTATTTTTTGTTACTATAATTTACTATAATTTGTAATTAATGTGTACATACGTAATACTCTGACATACTAGAAGACCCATTGATAATAAATGTTCAGACTTTATAATTAAATATAGACTTTATATACATATAATGTACTTATGATTGTATTTGATGTGTATCTCATGCAGTTGATACAGCTTGTGCTATTAATAAAGGTGCATAGGGATCTGTCATCTCTAATGTTTTCTTGTTTACACAGCACAAACGACACTTTGACAAATTTAAATTTGGGTACAAATTTAAAATATTTGTAAGCAGCTACTGCACCATGCATTACATTTCAATGTTGTTAATTGAATTATGAATTTAAAATTCTTTTTAGTCTTGCACTAAACAAACATTTAGTTCATTTTAAGTTTTTCTCATTTTCATGTTATTTTTATATACCATATCTATGATTGATTTAAAACATGACATGTATCATACATCACACGAGTAGCTGCCTTTTTCCTTTCCTTTTTCCTCACTGAAGTACATCGACGTTTCCTATGACGTACCTGTTCTGGATGTTTGCACTTAACTAACATTTCTTGATTTCCAGGTTGGTACTCGGCTAGTAGTGGTGCCAGCGCCTGCACAGAATGTGCTGCTGGTCGCTACTGTACATCAACCACTGAGACATTATGTAATGCTGGTTACTATAGCAATGCAGGTCAAACATCATGTGATCTATGCCCTGGTGGATATGATTGTAGTGATTCTAGTACCATTGTGCTATGCCAAGAAGGGTTTTATTCAAGAAATGGAAGTTCATCCTGTACATCATGTGAAGAAGGTAAATACGTTATATGAACTCTGATCACCCCAAAACATTATCTTTCTTGGAATAAAAACTGATACAAAAAATGGTCACTAAATCGTTATTGCAAAACAATTATGTGCCTATTATGATCTTCATTCATTCCAAGTTGAAAACAAATTATTTCATATTTAAAGTTTGTCATTTATGTTGATGAATTAAATTCCTGTAAACATGCATTTCATTATCCAATTAGAGATGGCCCAATGGCAGCCATTTTAAAGCTGAAAATGCACCAAAATCAAGCATTTATGTTATTATGCAAGTCTAGGCTGACTTTGTTCAAATTTGGTACATACTTTGATCTTGATACACAACAATTTTATTATACATGTCTCTGCTCATAATTCCATCTTTCAGGTCGTAGCTGCCCTGGAACTGGCAGAGTTGAACCACTTGAATGTGAACTTGGTACTTACGCTAATGTGACTGAATCTCCTGAATGTCTGGAATGTCCAGCGGGATATAAATGTCCTGTTCCATCACAATCTCCAGTGTTCTGTATCCGTGGTACTTATAGTGCTGCTGGTAGCACGTCTTGTACAGCATGTCTTGATGGGGAATATGCCGATACACCTGGTAAGTATAGACCAGCACATTAGGATGTCATGTGTTGTTACCTTTGCCAACAAGCATGGGTATATATGCCTGATAAAAGATTGTACATGACTGGCTTATGAGTATGCATAGTGTTATTTTAACTGGGGCACATACATGTGTATTTGATAACAATTTACAGCAATGAACAGTAGCATAAATTTATTTTTATATGCATATGACTGCTTTGTGCCAACCAGTCACTGCACATATGCATTGAGATGAACCCTTGCCCTCTCACCATCGTTGACAATTTTTGTATCTTTCAATAAAAATAGTCTTACTCAAAGATTACTTGGATTCATAAAGGATTTTAATCAAAACTTTAAATTGTCAGAATTTAAAATAGTTTCATTTATTAGTTTTACATTGCACATATGTAAATTACATACAATTTTTGTGTATATGCACAGTATCATTTGCTTCAAAACTGAATTAACAACAAATCTTGTTATGACATCTACACTAACCCAACAAATATGTATAGGGTGTGTCAAACTGAAAAGTGTTTCATAACCTAATGACCATGAATTCCTATTTTTTGCCTAATTTAAATAATTTCTTTAAATAAAAATAGTTGGATTTTTAGAAAACAAAAAAAAATAAAATATTGAATAATTTACGAAAAAAGAATTTTTGTAATTACAAAAAATGTATTGCTGGAAAACCACAAACTGAAATCAAATCATAGTCATTCAGATTCTCACTATGTTTTGTGGTGGAATCAGCTTATAACAAAACACTTTTCAAACTGTTCACTGGTAGCATAGTGGTTGTCGCATCAGACTGATGATCAATAGACCCAAGTTCAAATCCTACTTTAGGCTGAACATCAAAAGGGTCACAGACTCAATGTCACAGACTCAATAGGAAGGCCAATTCCACTGGGCGAGATTCATTCACTAACAAATGTGACTTCGGGGGAACCTTGGTAAAGATCAGCAGGTGCTTGTGTTCAACCGAGCCTGGTTGATGCCAGGATAAAAATTGCCAGTTGATAGAGAGATGGCCACACAGCCCTGTCATGTAGTCCCAAACATGAATATGACTAATGTGGCAAAATGCAATGTGTCAGCACTAGCACTTGCACTTGCACTTACAAAAAAAAGTTAGGGGAGACAACAGTGACATTCAATGTCCAGAACTGTCGCCTGGCACAAAAACATTAAAAAAAAACACACTTTTTTTTTAAATGAGTAGTAAGTAAAACACATTTCAATGTAAAATGTAAATTTTTATGTCTTGATTTGAGTTCTAAAATAAATAAATTGTTATTTTACAGCTTCTGAGCAGTGTTCTCCATGTACCGCTGGTTATAGTTGTGTGGATAAAGCTCAAGCACCTCAAGCTTGTCCGGCAGGAACATACAGGTATGACATATTTAATAATAATCAATTTTTGCTTGGAATTTATTTTTGCTATTTTCACTTAAAGAAATGATTCAGTGAAAATAAAATCTAGCCAATATACCCTTTTCCTATATATTACATTCAACTTATCAAAAATCAGTGAAAATAGATGCTATACAAAACACCCAAAATGTTTTATCAGTGAAAATTAAAAGTAAGTATTTTACAAAATTTGATGATAAATTTAATGTAAATCCAGTGAGTGGTGTGGCCAGCAGTATTTCATGCCTTTTGATTTTTAAAGTACAGTTTGTGTATATATTTAGGTGTTGTTTAGGTACATGAATATTTTAATTACTGTAGAATACTTTATTTTCGCTTGGAATTAATTTTCGCTGAAAGAATGATTCAGTGAAAATAAAATCCAGCGAATATATACCTTTTTTCCCCTATATTTTACATTAAAATCACCAAAAATCAGTGAAAATAAATTCTATACAAAATACCCAAAAAGTCTTTTCAGCGAAAATTAATTCCAGCTAAAATAAAGTATTTCACAGTACTTTGTATGCTTGTTATCCATAGCGTAGTGCTTGCTGCCTCTGACCAGTGATGGTTTTATCCTAAGTTGAAGTGCTACCTGGGGTTGAAAACCAAACTTATACCTCAGGCTAATATGATGCAGACTCGGGGAGGCCAAAGCTTTGCACTGCAATGGATTTATTTAAATTGTGGTTATACTGTATCTATAGTCAATCTTAGCAATTACACTTACTGTAAAACTATTTCTTTTCACTATTTTGATGCTTTGAACAATTTCAATGGGTTTTGGGTTCATGAAGTTGGCAAGGAAACAATGAGTTGCATTTGTCAGTGGATGCAGCGAGAATGCAGTTCTAAACTTTATTCAGTTGACAATAAACGGTGTTAGACGAGTTACATACTACGAGACGTTGAGTTATCCAAAAGTCTACAAATTGAACCTGCTCGGCGACGCCTGATAAAATACAGCTCAGTCGTCAAGCCACAACGTTCACTTGAAATTACTTGCTAAGTATCGGCAAAATTAAAAACAAGCGAATAATTAATGGATTTACAGTAAACAGAAAGTCAGAAGTGACAACAGTGGCGCTGAAGAACTTTCATTCAAGTAAAAAAATATTTTTAAAGTGCTTTAGCTCATTAATGTAGCACATTGGCCTGTAATATTGTGTCACAGTTCTCAATATTTTTTCTAAAATGTTCCGTTTATGATGTTGTCCTTTGTTCTCGTTTATACAGTCCTGGTGGTTTAAAGTATTGTTCGTCTTGCCCAGCTGGCTGGTATGCAGATGGCAGTACTGCTGATTCTTGTACAGATTGTCCAGCTGGTAGTAAATGTTCAACCACAGGTGGGTTTGTAAAATTAAAATTATACTGATATGGAATACTGTGGACCATTTATTTTTCACTGCTAGAAATTTATTGCTATTTCAGGATTTTATGTTATTCATGAAGTAAAAATTTCCCAAAGGCACTGAAAAAAATCCATGTTGTTTGACACCAGGGAAATTTTGACTGCTACAAAATTTAGTGATTTTTACTGATTTTCGAAATTTGTGAAAATTTGTCTATTATGTTATTCATGAAGTTAAATTTCCCAAAGGCACTGAAAAAAAAATCCATGTTGTATGAAATTTCAACTGCTACAAAATTTAGTGATTTTCAATGATTTGCAAAATTTGTCAATCATAAAATTTTACAGTACATGCTGGACCAATAACATATCAAACAAATAGATTGGGGACACAATTTGCTATACTATAACCATGATAGAGTTGCATTCTCTTGTTATGACTACAGAGAAAACAAGGGCAACAGGAGAATAAAATCTCCACAAACTAAAATGCCTAATTTTCATAATGTTAACATAACATAGATCAGTTGAAAAAAGTTGGCCATTTCATTGGCTGAGATGCATTTGTGTTATCATACAACAACAGAGAAAAGTAGGATCACCCTGTTTTTTGACATCCATTTTGAATTGAAATTAAATCGCGAAAGACATCATAAATTCTCATTCGTAGCCAGTCAAACAATGTTCACTAGAATCATCTTTCAAATATCTGTCTTTCACGCCGTTGAATGACAGAAAAATACGTTTCTTCAAACATCAGGAAATCCAGAAAAAGTTCACGTTTGGCCTATTAGTTTGCATGCGCAAGAAGGTGACTGTGCACACTGTGAGTTTATAAGTCCCGAAAACCTGTAAGGCAAGAAAAAAATAATCTCTGTTTCTTGTTTCATGGAAATTTTAAAATGAGGCGCTAAAATGGGGGGAATTTGAGACAAGTGCAAGTACAAGCGCATTTTGGAATGCTTTAGCAGGAAAAAAAATGTCCGAGGCGCATAGTTCAAAATGATGCACGTGGAAACGAGAAACAGAGATATTTTTTTTCTTAGCCTAATTCTAATGTTACATCTTTTCCTAAAATAATTCATGTTTAAAGGTCTAGAGGCTTGCAGTGATGGTTACTACTCACTTGGTAATACTACAACTTGTACGATATGTCCAGCAGGACATGAGTGCTCTAATAAAGCTGTTGACCCTGTACAGTGTATGGCTGGTACATATGCCCCTGAGAGCAGTACTTCATGTAGTAATTGTGATGCAGGGTATCAGTGTCCAACTGATGGATTGTCCAATCAAATAATGTAAGTATATTATGAGGTTATCACGAGAATATCTTAAAGTATGCACAAAGGCAGTATGGTGTTTGTATCATCCAACATGAAGCAGAGATTGATGTGACCCTGTACTGCCTGAGTGCATACTTTGCGGTATCAACCATATTGTTATACTCCCCTGCTGGTAATACTGCTTTAATGAGAGTTTAGAGTCGTCAAATGATAATGACAAATCTTTTGTGATGTGCGAACCTTTGCATTATGTAACAAGATTCTACTGCGGCCACGCACTATATTGCTTTGCATCCAATGAGGGTCGGCAAGAGGTATTTTCGTAAGGTGTAATCAGTTTTTTTTTTTCGTAATAATGTAATTTAAATAAATAAAAAAAACATAATTTTGTATAATAATAATGGGCAAGGTGTAAAATGTAATCAGCTATTTTATTTGTTCGTAATTTTAATAAGATCATATTTTTTGTAAGCGTATAAAGCATTTTCCACATTAAATGTTGTAACTAGTACACAATTTTCAATTTTGATCCTTGAATACAATTAATCAAATATATTATAAAAATGTAAAATGTAATTAGGAATTTGCTTTATCTGTAAAATGTAAAAATCTATTTTTCCCTGTAAAAACATAAAATACCGTTTTTATTTCCTGTAACCTGTACCAGCTATCCCCTCTTGCCCCCCTCCCCTCCCTCCAATGTAAACAGTGTTTGAATGTGACATTAATAACTTTGAACATGTCAATGTTGGTAACTTAGTTTACCCAATATAAGAAAGAATTCTTATATTTGATATCACCATTATATCTTTCTGTTTGACTGGCAATGTGGTTCATTTTTTTGGTTAATTAACCTTGTAAATTATTAGTCATGTTAACTATGTGGCATCCTGAGCAATCCTCAATCATAACCTCAAATATGAACTTTGGCGACTAAGGAATTGTGTGACTTTGAAACATTTACATACTTTGCATCATAAGAAAAATAGTTTGCATTAAACAAAAATAATAAACAACAGATTGAAAATGCATTTTGTTTTATAATTCATCATAGTGAGTTGGAAATCACTCATGAATAGGGATATGCAGTAAATATAACAAAGTTAAGCACCATGTGTGTCTATTCATCTCATATAAACTTCTAAGTAATGTGCATCAGAATTATGTATGCCCACCTGATTCTTTTCTTTGGTATTTAAAGGGGAGCAGAGGTGTGGCTTTTGACACTCTGTACAGGAAATTTGAGATCTATGAATGAACTCTGTCAATAAAAACAACTTGTATGTGCTGTGCTGTGCTGTGTATGGCTGTGAAGCAGACGACAAACATTCGCTTTGCCTGGCATCATTTCACCTCTAGAGGGCCAGTCAATGATATCATCAGTGAACACTGATAATTGAACCCATTCATTCTAGTACGTCAACCCCACAGAAATGTTACCATGAAAGGCCTTGTTAACTGACTACTTAAAAGTTGAAACATGGTGAGGTGTTGTGTTATGAATGCCATAACATTCACGTCTCTTGAGAAGTTTTCCACATAACATATACAAATGTAGCATAACAAAATAGAACTACTGTAGAACACGTTGAAAATGATAGCTGCATGCAATTTTAGCGAATTTGACTCTTGGCATGAATTAACAGAATCCTAATTTAGCTAAAGTGTCGACTATCTCCCTATGAGAATATACTTTATGTTAAATTAGCTGCATCTTGAATTAGCGAAACTACAGAGTAGCTGAATTAGCTAAAATAACATGCTAGCTAAAAAAACATGTTTTATTGTTTAATTATTGCTATAAACGTTCGTCTGATGTCTGTTTTATAATATTTCACCTTGGTTTGTTTTATCTTACAGCTGTAGTGACGGTACCTACCAAGATCTCACTGCACAAACAAGTTGTTCAGATTGCCCAGCTGGTAAGAGCTGTTCAAATGTATCCTCCACACCTGTTGATTGTTCTTCTGGATATTATTCCGTCCTTGGTTCTACATCTTGTACTATATGCCCTGTAGGACATAAGTAAGTATCCCTACTATAAATTAACAAGTACTAATAAACAACAGTAAAAATAAACCTAACTGTAGAGGGTGCAATGCACTATGGCCTAAATGGACATTAACAGGCTTGTTTTTGAAACTTTTGACTCTTTTAATAAACTTATCTGAGGTTCCTGAGCTTCCTGGTTACTATCATGTGTGTGAAAAGGGTTGAATGAATTAAGCTGGTCAGCAGAAATACACAGTTTTAGGCAGTTATTTTACCTTACCACTAAACTTATCTGAGGTTCCCGAGCTTCCTGGTTACTCTCATGTGTGTGAAAAGGGTTGAATGAATTAAGCTGATCAGCAGAAATACACAGTTTTAGGCAGTTATTTTACCTTACCACTATACAACACATATTTTTTTAACAAATTGTTTTATTGCATTCTTGAAATAAATTTTCATCAGTTAAAAGATATAACAATGAAATACATAAACAAAACAAAAAAATTTAAAAATGCACAAAAGAAAATGAAAAAAAAAAAAATGATAAAAGTAAGAATTACAGTTGTATCTTTTAATTGGATGTTCTGTTCTAATGTCTAATATGGCATATACATATTCACCCACTTGTCTTATAATTTCAACATCATTGCAACTCATCAGGTATATAAATTTCTGATTAATGTTGTGGGCTGTGTTTGGAATTATTACATCTCTCAATAGTTTTTGTCTGTTATTGTAATATTTTGAGCATTCCATGAAAAAATGTACCTCATTTTCTATTTTGTTCTCTGAACAATGTATACATAATCTGTTTTCTATTGATATTAATTCTGTAGTTGTAGAAATCTAACAATACCTTGAAAGTTTTTCATGAAATAGAGAAAACGTGTTTTACATTCATTCACTAAAATTTTATTTTTATCCCTATATATGTATGAGCCATTGTATTGTATTTCTGGAGGACAACATACAAGCATGTATATTCAACTCACAAAACACTGATGCTAGCAGGTTCATCGACGACCTGTTGTAAAATGAAATCCCTTTTTGTCATGAGCGAGTTTTAGTATAGTGTCAAGCATGGAACACACCCACACATCCTGGGAAATTATAACTAGTCTATTCTTGGTTCATGGGTGTAAATTTTATTACCTTTAGTGCTGAAGTAAATTGTTTTCTTGTTTTTTATCAAGCCAATATATCTGAAAATAATACGTGTCCTATGAATAAATACAAATAAATGTTTTGGGTGTATTTTTGATGCAATTCACTCATTATATTATGAGGATACCTTAAAGTATGCATGAAGACAGTATAGTGGCTGTATAGACCGACATCATGGGAATGCCGAAATCATAAAAGTTTAGAACAGAATCAGCTAACTTCTTTGTGTGGAGTCCGGTCAAACCCTGGTGGCAGCCATGTTTGTTTTTATTATTTGAGGACGCTTTCTCGCGTAATCGTTCCATATTTGGAATTCGCATTTTCTAATATGGTAGGTGAAAACACTAGATGTATAATAATATTGTTTATTCTTTTTAAGGTGTCCCACCACAACAGCTGAGCCTACTAGTTGTAACAGTGGTGAATATGCCCCAGCAGGCCAGACAGATTGTACACCATGTGAAGCTGGTAATTACTGTCCTGATCCACCGTCTTCAGGACCCATTAATTGTCCATCTGGTTGGTATACTGAGACTACTGGAAACACTGTATGTACAAAATGTCCAACAGGTAAGAGAATGTAACATACTACTATGATCATCGCATGTCTGCTCTCATTTTCAACATATTGTCCAGTGGGACAACCTCATCAACCGTCTGAGTGCCGAAGTCAACATCAGAGACCATCCACAAAATAGTTCTATTTATAGTCTGCTAGGTGTTTTACATATGAAATGTTGTGAAATTTAAAAAAAAATTTGATCAAAAACTATAGAAGCAATGTCACACTTTGTCTGTTTGATTCAAAATTAAAGCGAGAGGGTTGTCACCTGCGCACACGTGGGAATCGAGTCCTAAGCGATGATAACAACACACGCTAAAAACACAGAGGCTCATGGGTAGACACTTGTTTGTAAACAATGACACGATATGGCCATCTAATGCATGCACATGTGACAACTCCCCCGCTTTAAAATGTGAACAAATTTACCCAAATTTTAAACAAAAAAACATACACACTCAAAGGGTGCTTGTTCACATGACATTTTATTTGTCCTTGATAAGAGCAAAGTAACCAGAGTATATTTTAGTGGATACAACGTTAAAGTCATCAGTAGTAGAATCTTGCATTTCAAACAAACAGTTTAAAACTGATATGTAATGATGTATTATATATCTGTATTTTCATGGTTGTCTCAGCTTGTCATCCAGACAGGCTTCAGGTTTGGCTTAGTTTTAAGACATTAAATATATATGTTAATATTTATTGCATCTTCAGAAAAACAGTATTTCTATCAGTACAGTAGCAATAAAAGTATAACATAGTATAATTATAATAATAATGAAATAATAAAGAAAGAGAAAATATTATAATGTTAAGTATAAAAGTAAAATGTAATGTGTTAATTTTTTTTACTAATACTAATAAGTTTAATAATAATAAAACTAAGACTAATAATAATAAAATTCAAAACTATCAACTATTCTTACTGGTCAACTATCTATTCCTTCTTGAAAGGCTTTGTAAATAAACTGTAAAACCTTTTTTATAATTTCACATTCTTCTGCTAAGCCACATCATGGATGGGACTGGTATTTTGTAGATTGAGATGCACTTTTACATGTATGCCTTTATTTACATGTTTTAAGCCCTGTAATACATGTATACGCATTTTAGATGTTTGATGAAAATAATTCTCTACTTTTCAGGTTCTAAGTGTCCGGATGCCACTACTGCTCCAGAGTCGTGTGCAGCTGGATACTATACAGATCAGATGGGTTCCACAGAATGTATAGCTGTAAGTCAAATATCTGCCACTATTATATAATAATAATAATAACTTTATTACACAACAAAATCATCAGAGGATTTAGTGAGGTAAAGAGAATAACAAGACATACATAAACAAATGTAATAAAAAAAATACAAGACTAAAGAAATATAAAATTAATAACTTCAATAATCTCGTAACTTTTAATTGGGGATTTATAAATAGTATCTTTAAGGTATAGTGAAAGGGCTTTTGCATTTTTACCTCAATAAAAATATCATCTGATAAATTAGACTTGAGATCGCAATCTTCAAAAAGTCTTTTTCTTTCACTTTTAAAGGAAGGACATTTAAGGATAAAATGCTTCTCATCATCAATAGAATTACACCACAAACAAACACAATTTTCATTCTGTAAAAAGCTGTATTAGCACTGATTCCAAAACGTATCTTACTTGTTCAAGTTTTGTTTTCATATGTGGAGGAATATGTTGAACTTTGTTTTAGGTTATTACTGTCAAATTCATAGACTTTCCTTTGTTTACAGTACATACAGAAGTGGTATACTGAGTGACGGAAATAGAATCACTTTGCTAAACACAAACAAATGCACAGTGCATTGGCATTTATCTTATTAAATTGTTACTACAAAAAGGGAAAAAAATGTATAACAATGAACCATTTTCATGCATACTTTACAGTATTCTTGGGATAACTTTATGATATTATTTAGTTACATGGCTTTGTAGAATCTACCCAAAAAAGGTTGTTGCTAATATTTAATTTTTATTTCGTCATAAAAGTAAAATTTCTCAATAGTGTATGTATCAGTACTGTTATCTGATCCTTAAATGAATTTCTGGTACAAATATCCCAAAAACTCAAAATAGCACAGATAATGTACTTACATACATGTACATTATTCTCCGGGTTTTAATTTTGCTATTTTCTCCGATAAGTAAAATGTGCTAAATTAAATTCAATTACAATAAAATATGAATATGTCCAAAATATTAGATAGATGGTATGTGAAATCATGTTGGATTCCCTGGTTTGTTTTTCTCCATAATAATTTAATCTGCTATGCTGTAGCTTCCTCTGCAATAAAGGAGACATTGATTCTACATCATTATATTCAGATTTCCAATAAAAAGAATACTGAAAATGTTATACTGATAATCTTAATTTTGTTTATTGTATATTTTTCAGTGTTTGTCCGGTTATTACAATCTTAATTCTGGCTCAGATTCCTGCATTCAGTGTCCATCTGGTTCTAAGTGTCCGGTTAAAGATCAGGCGCCTATTGAGTGTGGTGTGGGAACGGTAAGTCTCATGATTGTGCAGGTACCTGGAGAAATAAATATACCATGTAGAAAAATGCATTTTTGAAAATTATATACTTGTGTCTATTAATTTTGGTTTGTGAAGACAAGTTTTCCATTGATTCCAGCTTGTACGGGATATTAGGAAATTAATTTATTTCGCAAAATATGTCAAGAAGTCAGGGGAGATTCAAAGTGACATTACAATTTGCACATCACTCCCAGAGCAACCTAAAAACAGGAAAAAAATTCTCTCGTTCTGATTATAAAGTTTTAAAAGTAGATATCCTGTCCTGACTTCTTATTTCTTAGACTAACATACCTACAATGTATCTACTGTAAATGCATTATGAGTGGTTTTTATCAATTTTGCTATTCTCGCTGATAAGTAAAACAAAAGACAAATTGTTGAAACTAAAACACAGTGAATATGCTTAAAACATTAACTTAATTTAGGAGTCCCACTGAAATTGGAACTTTTCAACTTCTGAAATATGTAGAATCTTTAGATTTCAGTGCATTTATTTTCATGAAAGCTCAAATTGACTTTACTTATCATTGTTATTGACCTTTCTCTTTATTCATGTGTGTGTATTTTATCAGCGTTTTCTTCGAGAAGTAACTGCCAGTATTTTGTTGCATGTCTACTGTGTTGTTTATATCATGTTGTCATCATAGTGTTCATTGTATTGTAAAAGTCCCTGCACATAATCTACGTCTCATCAGCATCCATATACGATATAAAATGTATCACTTACCCTATTCCTGACATACCTTTTAGCATTTCCCATATTGCATTGCATTAAATGGTAAAACAGTCAGCAAGACATGTTTGGCAGCTAGAATGTAAATAGAAATTCTGAACTATTTTTATTGTACAACCATATCATCAGAGGATACAGTAAGGGAAACAAACAAAATAGAACTGCATACATCAAAAATGGATTAAATGCTATTAATTAAGGAGCATTTCGTTCATAATTTCGTTTCATAATTCCATATTAACAGTTCACAGTTTAATTTCAAAGCGAAAGTAAACAAAATTAAAATAAATTTGATCTCAAAGTCTTGCTGACTAAGCTAATTGCCTGAACTGGGTGGAGTGCCTGGCTTTGCCTGTTAAATGTTTGCGCTATTGATAATTATGTTAACTGCACATTATTTGTTTGCTATTTATTTTCTCCACTCATGCAATGCCATCCTTATCATGTTCAATTCACACATCATTTCCATGGATACCATTGTTGCTATGACTACATCATCTACAGACGAATGAGGTATTTTATAATGACATACAGTAGTTGGTTTTCATAGTTTTAGATATAGATGACTGAATACTGTAAACATAAAGAAATGACCATTACATATTATAGAAAACATCCACTATGTTGTCTCCACTTTAGGAATATTTTCACCACACTGCTCTGTTAAAAAAAAACTTTTTTACCAGTCAGTATATACTGCAAATGGTTCAAATTATGTTGCTAGAAATATTGGCAATATTTGATTCACGAAAAATGTTGTGCAAGTCAATAACCCCCTAAAAATTCTCAATGCTACACAATTTTGTGATTTTCACCTTTTCATAATTGTTCATTGTAAAAATTTGTCTTTTCTGAAATTAAAATTGTTTGCAGTAGTATGTTCTTGCCAACTTTCTATAATTGTTTCTATTTAAAATAAAATCATGGCGGTTGCTATGGTTACGAGCATGCAAATGCCATGTACATTGTAAACAAGCACACTTTTGACCCATATGGTACTATGAGTTGTATGGGACCCATATCAAACATATATGAATGTGGCAACCATGGCTTTGTTGTTTTTCACACTAAACTGAATAATCAGATATAAATTATTGAAAAGGCAATTGTATCCATCAAAGTTTGGTTTCTTTTATATTAATGGTCAATTCTTCAACAGACTGCATAACAGAGTAGCTTTACTCAAGAATCTAATATTTGTTATAGTATTTTTTTTATTACTAACTTTGTATTTTTTACAAAACCTATTGTCATTATTGATTTAACCCAGAGTTGTGTATTAGCTATTATAGTTTACTACAAAATCACAGCTGTCTTGATCACCTATCTTATTTGAAATCTTTCCCAGAAAAAATGTGTTTTACCTGCTTGAGCTTTTATTGACATTTTTTCATTTTTGGTAATCATGAGTATATACAGTCTGTTTTCGTTGTTATGACCATGCAAAATATGTATTATGTCTTAACAATTATTCTTGCTTTTAAATCTGAGACCTATCACCAATGTCTGTGGGGTGTGGTGTACATGTAGCTTGAGATTGGGTCTAAATGTAGGTAGGTTTCACTGTATCAACTGGTTTACTTGCTGTCATGCTATTTTACCCAATCAGCAAGCACATGTGACACTAAATTTGGTATATTATTCAGTACTTATAGTTTGCAATCTTAGTAGATAGTGTTCCCTCTAAGCAAGTGTGGCACTGAGAAATGTTTTCTTCATCTGCAAATCCACCTTGAATCAGGTGTGTTTGATTACATAATGCATGAAATTAAATTCACTGAGAAAATTTCACAAAAGTAGTCTTAATAAGAACATTGCATTGAATATTAAACTGCATTGTTTTTTTGTTTGGATGTGACTTGTAGTTCTTGCCAACTTTGGTCATGGCACATGCACTAAAAAACAGACAGG